AGGGCAGGGTGGGCAGAAAGTGAGGGCAGGGTGGGCAGAATTTGAGGGCGCGGGTGGGCAGAATGTGAGGGCAGGGTGGGCAGAATGTGAGGGCGCGGGTGGGCAGAATGTGAGGGCGCGGGTGGGCAGAAATTGAGGGCGTGGGTGGGCAGAATGTGAGGGCGTGGGTGGGCAGAAATTGAGGGCGCGGGTGGGCAGAAATTGAGGGCGCGGGTGGGCAGAACGTGAGGGCGCGGGTGGGCAGAAATTGAGGGCACGGGTCGGCAGAATGTGAGGGCGTGGGTGGGCAGAAAGTGATGACGTGGGTGGCTAACGGACGAAAATGGGGGAGTTTTAAAAAAAATTAAAATAACACCATCAATATATCTACTTTATCTTAACGAAAGAGGTTATTGAACAGGGGGAACTGCCCTGGGGGAAACACTTTTGTGTGTGTGTAAGTTTATTTGGGGGGGGGGGTGTATTTATTTTTGGTGTATTTAGTAGAATACAATACCTGGCATATGGCATGCATTTTTTATGTCTATTTTAAATATTTATGGTTTACTTGAATGATGGGCGGTGAAATGAAAGACCGCACGTGGAGTCGTGAACGCTATTTACTACAGTTAGGGACTTAGATATGCTACTTTCATTGAGAAGAGCAGAGATAACTTCTCAAGCTTTGAACCTATTTAGAGTTTAAATATGATTTTCACCAGATCAACACCAACGACAACAAACTCTACACTGTCTTCAACATCTTCAATGATTAACTTACATCTGATGTAGGCGCAGAGTGAGCCAATTAGTGAGATCAGGAAAGCGGCAAACGTAATAATCAATATGATAATCGAACTGTGGTCCTCTAGAGAAATATATTGGAAAAATAATAAACATTAAAAAATTATGTTATTTTTTATATTTAACCTTTCTTCACATGTGGTTTTCACCGTTAAATGCTATCCGACTATACTTTAGACAACAATGTTATAGTGCTAACCGACTATGCTCTAGACAACAATGTTATAGTGCTAACCGACTATTGTTTAGACAACAATGTTATAGTGCTATCAGACTATTGTTTAGACAACAATGTTATAGTGCTATCAGACTATTGTTTAGACAACAATGTTATAGTGCTATCAGACTATACTTTAGACAACAATGTTACAGTGCTATCAGACTATTGTTTAGACAACAATGTTATAGTGCTATCAGACTATACTTTAGACAACAATGTTATAGTGCTATCAGACTATTGTTTAGACAACAATGTTACAGTGCTATCAGACTATTGTTTAGACAACAATGTTATAGTGCTATCAGACTATTGTTTAGACAACAATGTTATAGTGCTATCAGACTATACTTTAGACAACAATGTTACAGTGCTATCAGACTATTGTTTAGACAACAATGTTATAGTGCTATCAGACTATACTTTAGACAACAATGTTATAGTGCTATCAGACTATTGTTTAGACAACAATGTTACAGTGCTATCAGACTATTGTTTAGACAACAATGTTACAGTGCTATCAGACTATACTTTAGACAACAATGTTATAGTGCTATCAGACTATACTTTAGACAACAATGTTACAGTGCTATCAGACTATACTTTAGACAACAATGGTATAGTGCTATCAGACTATACTTTAGACAAGAATGTTACAGTGCTATCAAACTATACTTTAGACAACAATGTTATAGTGCTATCAGACTATTGTTTAGAAAACAATGTTATAGTGCTATCAGACTATACTTTAGACAACAATATTATAGTGCTATCAGACTATTGTTTAGACAACAATTTTATAGTGCTATAAGACTATACTTTAGACAACAATGTTACAAAGCTATCCGACCACACTTTAGACAACAATGTTACAATGCTATCCGAACACACTTTAGACAACAATGTTACAGAGCTATCCGACCACACTTTAGACAACAATGTTACAGTGCTATCTGACCACACTTTAGACAAAAATGTTACAGTGCTATCCGACCACACTTTAGACAACAATGTTGCAATACTATCCGACCATACTTTAGACAACAATGTTACAATACTATCCGACCATCATTTAGACAACAATGTTACAGTGCTATCCGACTACACTTTAGACAACAATGTTACAGTGCTATCCGACCATACTTTAGACACCAATGTTACAATGCTATCCGACCACACTTTAGACAACAATGTTACAATACTATCCGACCATCATTTAGACAACAATGTTAAAATGCTATCCAACCACACTTTAGACAACAATGTTACAATGCTATCGACCATACTTTAGATAACAATGTTACAATGCTATCCGATCACACTATAGACAACAATTTTATAGTGCTATCCGACTATACTTTAGACACCAATGTTGCAATACTATCCGACCATACTTTATACAACAATGTTACAATGCTATCCGACCATCATTTAGACAACAATGTTACAGTGCTATGCGATCACACTTTAGACACCAATGTTACAATGCTATCCGACCACACTTTAGACACCAATGTTACAGTGCTATCCGACCACACTTTAGACAACAATGTTATAGTGCTAACCGACCACACTTTAGACAACAATGTCACAAAACTAACTGTAATCTGAATATTAAAATTTAAAAATAAAGAAAGAAACATCACGCGTGCCTGTGGTACAATACAAAGTATCTGGCCGTAAAACTAAAACAAGAAAACACAAACACAGACGTACACACACGCACACACAAGAACACTCAGTGGTGTGGTTAAGGTTATTGCCCTTACCGGGCGGGACCAAGATTTTTACCACCCCCTTTCATAATCTGCAACGCTGCAGTTGGCCGAAAATGCCGCCCACCTGGTCCATATAAAGAAATATCACTTTCCACTTTTTTTTTTTACTATTTACTTCACACAGCCATATAAAAAAATAGAGTCTAAAAAAAATCATGTTCCACTATTTTTTTTTTTACTTTGCACCGGTTGAACGGCTAAGATTATCCATGTAAATAATAAAGAAATAAAAGTACCAACCCCTCTACACTTGCTTCCTAGGCCGCTGAGTGCACTTCTTGTTTATGGTACCATTAAAATCTTTACCCCGTAATTCACATACGATTCTACCGCGCCGTCCACATCCGGGCAGCCGTTCCACGTAGGAGAATATGAACATGACGTCAGAGTCCCCCATCTTGATCGACCTGACGATGCACGTGTCGTCGACCCTGAACCTGGTGTAGTTGGGCCGGTTAAAGTTGATGAAGACGCTCGGGTGGTGGAGGTTGCTGACGCAGAAGCTGTACTTGTAGTCTTTGTCGCGACTGACCACGAGGCGGCAGTCCTCGATCTCCATGGTCTCGCCGTTCTGGATTAGAGTTGGGACTTCTAATGCTGAGAGGACATGCAAGGTACATATATATTTTTTTTTAAACTGTCAAAAGTTGGAGCAAGGCGTACAAAGGGGGGAGAGGTTGGGTGGGTGACAAACACTGCATAAAATCTGATCTGGTCTGGTCTGGTCTGATCTGGTCTGGTCTGGTCTGGTCTGGTCTACCTTGGATTAGGGATGCTAAAACCATTTTTGTTGTCCGCAAACTGGTTTTCTGTTTTAAGCAATTCAGTTTTTAAAACGGTATTTTGGTATTTACAATCATGACTCGATCTAAGCAGGAACGCATGGGAACGATGCACCAGTACATATATATATATATATATATATATATATATATAGGCCTATATATATATATATATATATATATATATATATGTACTGGTGTATCTTTCTCATTCGTTCTTGCTTAGATCGAGTCATGATTGT